ACTTACACACTTAATTTTAGCTAACAATTTCATTGCTTCCGGCTGGGATCGAACAGAATCAAAAGTAAAGTAAAGTAAAGTTACAGCCTATATACGTCCCATTGCTGGGCAGAGGCCTCCACTCATTTCTGAGAGGGTTTTAGGGCAAGGAAGTGTCCGCCGCGCTGCACCAATGCATGTTGGCGAACTTCACATGTCTTCGAAATATTTTTTTTCTTATTCCTCAGACATGTGGGTTTCCTTACGATGTTTTCCTTCATCGCTGAGCACGTGGTAAATCAGCACTTAAAATAGCAATTAACAATTTCATGGTGCCGGCGGGGATCTAAACCGGGTTACTCGCGTTCTGTTATATTTACAGCGAGCGTGAACCATCACATGATAAAAGCTTTTATCCGTTCCGTTTTTGCAAAAACAGAAATAACTAAGTTTTCAGTCATAAATATCAGAATATATCTTCGGACCATTAAATTTAATGTAATAATAAAATTCTAAAGTCTAAAAACAAAAAAAAATATATATATATATATGCGTAAAATATAAATAAATGTATATATAATAAAAAAGTCCTGCAGACCAGATATTAGTCACAGTGGCCAGGCGCAATGGAGACTAGGCATCTGAACAATATTATAGTGCAAGTGACATGCGCAAGCACAGGATACTCATAGACCTATTGCCGTCTAATCCGACTCTACCGGAGAGAGATCAGACGAAGGACCAACGTTTACGTTTTACGTTTACGTTCTTTCTGAGGCAAGGGGGTCAAAACCGCCATCTTTCTGACTCTTAGTAGCATCCCCCTACTACTGAGCATTTCTTGATAGAAAAACCTGATAACTTAATTTCTAATGAACAGCTTCCACGCTAACGAATATTGGACCAATAAGGCAGTATTTTTATAGAATACGGATGACAAACGAGCACTTTTTATACATTTATCTTAGATTAAGTATCAAAATGTAGATGTGTTATACTACCTTTGAAGGCTTTGATGGAATGCTGTTCCAATGAGTTTCCGGTTCTTTATACTCGCGATACGAAACAGCAGCGGCAAGGTGCTATTTTACGAAGGTACTCTGCAAGAGCTCAGTCCTTCCCCAGTCGAGCTGACCCATTCATGCTACAACCGTAATGTAGCTGCAATGTAGATTTTAAATTGTTTAAAAAGAAAAAGTGTTTACGTGTAGTAGCATTGTAGTGGAAGCGTAAGAGAATTCTTTACCCCATTTTGTAAGGTACCTTAAATGTCTACTACGGGATAATAGAGAAAGACCTCATGACTTTCGTCGTTTATACCGTTAGATTATAATAATCTTCCTGTTAGGTATGCTTATTACGAAAAATTATCACTACAACAAGAGTGGTCCTATATAGTAGAGCAAGGCTAGAGCATATTATGGCAGTAAGAATGAGTCGACTCGATCGGGGGAGGGTCGAGCCACACTTGCGCAGAATAGCAGCGCAAAGTAGCAACAAAATTTTGCTGAATTTTGTACGGTGTGTGACGAAATAGTGAGGCTAGCCAAGTTGACATTCTTCAATCATTAACGCAAATAGAAAACATAAAGTGAGAAAATAAGTCACATGAACGTCACGTGACTTAACATTGAGATGTGCCATTCTCATTAATTTTATAGTTGTCTGCTAGCGTTATCAATTTTCAAATGCAACTGGGATTACTCCGCAGAAGAAACCATCTAAGGTTAAGAGGCACATCATCTTAGGCCTCAAGGTTGAAGTATTTGCTTTTTTATGCTTGATTGCAGACAGATGTAGGTGTTTTAGCCACAGTACACTACTTACCACTGGTGGCAGTGCGTGCTCGTTTATGATCCTAACTTTTTTTAAATGGCCCGCGATCAGATGTAAGTTAATAAAGGCTGTTTACATTATAGGGTTGCACACTAAGCCAACTATATTATGTTTGTAGCACGAACGGGTCGGCTCAACCGGGGAAGAACCACACTCTCACAGAATACCAGCGTAAAATTGTAGCTTAATGCTGCTGTGTTTCGTATGGTGAGTGTAGAGAACCGGAGACCCTTTTTACTGGAAACGAGGCATTCCATCGTCCTCATGGGTGACAACGAATCTGCATTTTGATTCGTAATCGTCCATAGAAGTAGATTTCTATGGTTCACAGCAACCACTTACCATCAGGTGGACTGTGTGCTCGTTTGTCACACTATCCTATAAAAAAAAAACTCCGTCTGATGTAGCGTACCTCAATTAACCTGGTGTAACCTAGTTGCACACTGGAAAATAAGTTCAAAAAACGCACTGGGATCTGTGTACGTCCGCGATGAGGTTTGCTGTCGGTGTTTCCGTTGCTATGAGGTTTCAGGGTTTTCTGCTATTTTACTTTGGTGGACACCGGTATAGAGTCAACCTTCTATGCCTGTGTCTATCGATCGTACAACAGAGACCAAGAGACAATCAGGCTCATTGAATACCTGATAGAGATGGCAGATAAAGCCCGTCAACGGTATCCGTATGCGAAGCTAGTTTTTCTCGGGGACTTTTACGCCCATCACAAGGAGTGGTTCTTTCCATACAAGAAAACCGACCATGCTGAGGAGAGGCGCTCAAACATGCATTGCCGCTAGATCTCTCTCAGCCCGTTCATTTAGCGACGCGAGTAGCAGATGTAACCTGAAATACGTCCAATTGCTTCGACCTTCTGCTGACAACAGACCCACACCGGCACTCTATAAATTATATTTTAATGCGCACGGACAAGGAGGGGAATGCCCTGCCAGCGTCTGTTTTTTCAAGAACCTGTAGCCTGGAACTCTTCAAGGTGCGTGTTAACAAGCTTCTCCGGGGTAAACTCTCTCAATCGTAGAACTCATGTTTGCCCCCAAGCGAGATGAAGGTCAAGAGTGAGCTCATTTTCAATTTGAAAAAGGCTGTTTAAAAAGAAGAAATTAATATAGTTCAGCTTGTGATTGTAATAGGTTCGTGTCATGTTTTTCTTTGCAATGACTACAGCTGCAGAAAAATGTATATATTCCAGCTAAACAAACAAATATTCCAGCGCCATTATTTTTTATTAGAGTTTGTTTTATGAAATATATTTGAAAAGCGAGCACACAGTTCACTTGATAGTAAGTGGATGCTGTGGTCCATAGATAACTTCATTTATCCATAATAAAGAATCACAATGCAGATGATTAATCACCCCTGAAGACTGAGATGGAATATTCGTTTGCAGTAAATAGGGTCTCCAGCTCTTTAACTCACTATATGAAACAGCATTAATCCAGTGTAAAACAGCATTAAGCTGCTATTTTACACTTGTATTCTGCGAGAGCGTGGTCTTACCCCGGTCGAGCCGACCCATTCGTGCTACAACCATAATATAGCTGCAGCATGGCTTCACCATGTAAAAAATATAGATATAACAAATCTAGATATTATTTTAACAAAAATTCTCAGATAATTGTGCAGTGAATTGTAAAATATCGTATAGATGTATGTATTGAATATTCCAGATCAGCGATTCAGAGTTTGAGCTTAGTTTGCTCGCTAGGTGTTTCCACTAGCACAAAATCGTTCAAAAGGGTGCAGTCCATGACCGTGAAATTCAATTAGTTTCTAGTTCTCTCCGCAGTCTACGTAGTTTATGTAAATGCTGCTGAACTTTATATAAAAAATAATTACAAAAAGTTATTCATAAAAATCCAAGTGTTAAAAATAAAATGCTAGTAAAAAAATGCAACAGGTAAACATTGATATCCTTAGTTATTTACTTTTTCCATCACATTATGAGCATAATCTGAAAGTTTCAAAAGAAAATTCATTATTTGCTATCGTTATATCATATCCTTTGCTAAAATGTACAAAAGTTCCTTTTTGTCGTGACTTTGTACCCGTACGGCTTTGTATCACCTTGTTACATAACTTTGTACCACCTTGTTTCATCACTATTTCTGTCGCCAGTAAGCATAGCTCCACTGCTGTGTACCAGATTGATAAGGAAGAGGTCCAATATTAGGCCATGAAGCATTTCATATACACCCTCAGAGATGATATTTGTTAAAACGTTTACGTTACGTATAATAGTAATACTACAACTATTGAAACAATTAAGTCAAAATTTAAAAAAGTCAACATTGGTGTACCTCAAGGAAGTATACTCGGTCCTTCTTTGTTTTTATTATACATCAACGAGATATTTAAAATCACCAAGCATTTAACAATAATGTTTGCTGATGATGCTACAGTCTTTTATACTAGTAAGCTAATAAATAGTTCAGAACTTGAAAGTCAAATTAATAAGTCCATAAAAGACATAGTGTCCTGGTTAAAATCTGTAAACCTAACAATTAATGTAACTAAAACTAAAATTCTCCAAATTAGAAATTACAAGACCGAACCAATCCATTTAAAAATATCATTCGATGGCTCAGTCATAGAGGAAGTAGATAATATAAACTTTCTTGGAGTTAAAATTGACTCTCATCTAAATTGGAAATCACACATAGAAAAGATTAACAAAAAGATATCGAGTTATTGCTATGTTCTTTCAATACTTTCTTGGTCAACCTCTGAATCTGTTACTAGAAATGCGTACTATGGTTATATTTATCCATTGTTAATCTATGGTATAATTTTTTGGGGTAATTCAACCAACATAAATGAAACGTTTATACTACAGAAACGATGTTTACGCATCATATACCGTAAAACAAATAGAGACAGCCTGAGGAATTTATTTAAAGAAAAACGTTTTTTAACTTTAACTGGAATATATATCTTAGAGTTACTGTACGTTAAACATCGATAGTTTGGTAATCCGATAGTATCGATAGTTTAACTAAAAACTATCGATAGTATCGATAGTCTATCGATAGTTTAAAAACTTGTAGGATTAGCGTAACATCAATAAAATAACAAATGTTATACGAAACGTAGAATTTTATTTTGATATATATATATTCGAAATAACAATCAAACAATCAAAAATCAGTATTCATCATTATTATAGTTAGAAATCAATCATTAAAATAATAGCTATTTTGTTTTATAAACAACAATTCATTTAATCTTTTTTCTTTTAACCTATTTCTGCGTTCGGTTAAAATTTGTCCGGCCTTCGAAAATATTCGTTCTGAAGGCACAGAAGATGCTGGAATACAGAGATAGAGCATCGCTAATTCCTTCAATTTATTGTTGGTGTATTTCCAGTATGTTATAGGACACTCTTTTCTGTCAATTATTGGCTTCTCGAGATATTGCCTGACATCTACCAATGAGTTACTCAATGGGGTCGATACGTCCGGAACGTCTAGAAATCCCAACAGGTCATTAGATGTTCCTGAAGACGTGGATGGTGTTGGTTGCGTTTCTTCTACAGCCAAGCGTTCTTTAGTTAAATGGCTAGCATAGGCCTTTTCCAGCCACTGACCAGCTCGCTTCTCGTCGTCACTTGTTTTGAACCCCTTCTTCTTAAATCTGGGGTCCAATATTGTAGCAAGTACAACAGGTGTCCTGCTTTCATAGGGACTTAGTCTTTTGTCAACTGATCCCTTCATGCAGAGTAATATTTTGTTTCCGCTTTCAGTAACAATTTGAGATTCAACTTCTACTAATTTCGTTTTTATTCCACGAATCAATGGTATTATCAGTGACAATGTTATATAGCTTTCTCCGGAAATTTTTGTTGTAGCTAGATCGAAAGGTTCCAGAATTTGAATTGTTTCTTGAATAATTAGGTATTCGTCAGCATTGACTCCTGGTGGAGCCCGATTACATTCATTAAGTGCGAGAGTTAATTCTGTCTTCATTGTAACAATTCTTTGCAGCATGTGGTATGCACTGTTCTAGCGGGTGGGTACTTCCTGGATCACTTTCAGTTCTGGTTTATTTAATTCACGTTGAATAGCCCGTAATTTATCGCTAGCTAGAGTACTCATCTTGAAAAAAGTCACAATCGATTTACATTTTTTCAGAATCTGGTCTAAGCAGGTCACAGCAAACGAATCACTTACCGTCAGGTTTAGTGTGTGCGCAAAGCAGGGTATATGTCGTATATGCAGTTTGGCTGCGGCGTTAATCATTGTTTGAGCGTTATCAGTCGTTATTGCTTCACATTTTGACCTGATATCCCATTTTGAGAGAGTAGCATCCAACATCTGAAAACAATAATAATATTGTTTATGTCTGATTATAAAGAAACACTGAATTGGTAGGTATCAAGGCAATAAAATTTAAAAATACTTACACTGGCTATATTTTCTGCGTTATGACTTCCTTCCATCTTCACAACTTCCAATAATGGTGCAATTAATTTTTCGTTGTGAAAGAAATGACAAGTAACTGAAAGGATGCCTTCATTTGCAATTGATGTCCATAAGTCAGTAGTCACACTAACATGTTCTGCTTTCGATAATGCTGTGACGAGCTTCTGTTTCACGTTTTCATAATATTCCGGCAGTAATTTCTTTTTCAATATTGTTGTATCAGGAATTTCATATCTACTATCGAGAGCATTTACAAAATCCCGAAATCCTTCATGTTCTCCTTTTCGCAAAGGTTCCATGTATTAAAGTAAACAGCAATCATGCGCACGTATTTGTTATCCAAATTTTGCTTTGTTTTCCCATCTGGATATTTACTACTTCTATCAAAATAATTTTTTAGCGTATTTCTCTTTTTAGGGCTTGGGCCCATTTTCTCATTTTGCTCAGTGGTATCTACGTCTTGAGTAACAGAAACAGTGGATGACCACATCCATACCTCATTATGTTTTCTCTTCATATGATCGATCAAGTTCGTAGTATTTCCACTTAGTTTAAACTCTCTTTTACACAAAGAACACTTGGCAAACTTTTCATTAGTCTTTTTGAAGTAATCCCACGCACGTGACTTACTACTCATGTTTTATTGTTTAATTCTAAATTGTTTGTTACTCCACTCAACTTCAAACATCCACAATAAAAAACTGACTGACTGACTTTTGTCTTGTAAATGAATGATATACGCACGGTAATTCCCCAACCATAGAGAAGAATCTCAATGTCTACGCCTTTGAATGTATGATATACGCACGGTAATTCCCCTACCATAGAGAACAATCTCAATGTCTATACCTTTGTCACTATAGCCGGGGAATAACTTACATACATGCATACCTCGACTCTAGGGATGTAAAAGTAGTACCCGAGTAAACAATCGATCGATAGTTTTAAAAACTATCGATAGTATCGATAGCCATTTACTATCGATACCATCGATAGTCTATCGATGTTTAACGTACACTACTTAGAGTTGTGCCTATTTATTAGAAATAATTGCGATTTATTCGAAACGAAACTTTCGGAACGGCAAAATTTACGCCCTTGCTACGTAAACAATTTATATCTACCTCAAATTAAAAATAAATTGTTTGACAAAAGTGCATACATAACAGCAATTAAAGTATTTAATCACTTACCCAATAGTATTAAACCAATAAAAGGACCCAAATTCAAACATAATTTAAAAAACTGGTTGGTGGAACATACGTTTTATAAGCTAAATGAATTCTATAATTTTAAGAGTTAATATCGTGTTCTTTGTTATAATAATATCTATAAGCATTTTTTTAATATTTTATCTTAGAAGTTAATTGTAAATCTATCATCTGTTAAATGTAAATTGCAAAAATGTAATCTGTTAAATGTAAATAGTATATATATTATGTTTATGAAAATTGTAAATCTATTGCACGCCTGATGAGGCAACTGTTGATACCTATAATATTATGTCATCTTCAACTTGTACACAGTAATGCAATAAATGAATTATTATTATTATAAAAAGTTGCTTACAGGTATCCATGGGCTTCAGAATCGGAATCGTCAACTAGATTGTTAGCAACTTGTAAAAACAAACATACTCTATGTTTAAATACATGATTCAGTGGTGAACAGAATAAAACCATAGACGGTCTATTTTTTACATTGAATTCATTAGTTTTAGTAGGGCAATAAAGGCCACAGAAACTTGTCATCGCATATAGAGAGTGATGACAGCGTTTCGTCGCTTGTGCAGCCCGTCGGGGATATTTGCAGAAGCTCGCGTCGCTAGCTTTTACGCGACACATAGAAAGCGATGTGCATCACCGATACGTAGAGTGCAGGTCAGTAAGAACAGTACGCTTGTTATGATAGCTAATAGACTTGAGTGTTCATTTATAAACAATTGCTCTTTCGTACATACTAGGGACATTCAATAAAAAGTGATTATGTATGTATAAGGTAACTATTGGTAAATGTTATTTTATTTTATGTGACATAATTTATATACTCTACATTTGGAATGGCTTTTATCTAAGAATCTCAAATTGTGACCATCGCAATGGTGGACTTGTGCACCGGGCCAAACTTATCTTGGTGAAACAAAACAATCTTTGCGAGTAAGCCTCGCTGTTACGCGGATTTTGAACAAACAAATGGTTTCTACTTTTTTTTAAACAAATGGTAATCAGATATTTTTTCAGATATTCCAGGATTATCAGACAAAAGTAGCAAGTGTGGCAAAATGAGGCTCATATGACACAATCTGTGAGGGAGGTCCACGTTCAACAATTTACTTAAGACGAGATTATTGAAAAAACGAATGAGAAGTTAGTTTATATGTATTAATTGTGTATTAACAGAATGTGAGTCCTACTAATTATTTTAAAGGATGTTATTATAATCCGTTTTAATTAGACCTTCGTAATATGACAGAATTTCTAATTCCCTTCATCATTCCGTAGGTGTCGTAAGAAGCGGCAGAAGGAAATAAATCAGGAGATGGGCAGCAACGTCTTCCTAACAACAACTAAAATTAAAAAAAAAAACTGCGGTTGCCAACCCGCTTACGTGGCAGTGAGAGCGTGGCAACTATGGTAAATATCCCCCTAATTTACGGGGAGGCCTATGTTCAGCAGAGGACTTTAATAGGCTGTAACGGTAACGATAATATTACAGAACCTATTATATGTTGTTTGCTGTGGAGGAATCTATGACGCTGTATCATTCAAAAATCTATCGCCCTCAAATGAAAGTACAGAGTAACTATCTAATATTACAAAACATACGAGTAAAGACAAATCTGTACCGCGGCTCAATTTATTTTTCAAGAAATGCACAGGTAAATCATCAGTGTACTCTGGAGTTGTTCGTATCCAACATTGGACTTTCATAGGCTTAGAAAAAAATTACAATTTTTATTCATATTTTTATCTTAAATTACTAAATAGGATATGGAATGCCTGGAATATATCTATCAATATTATAAAAAATGTTATTAAATTAACAGCATATACGATGTGTGGGTATTTTGCAAATAATTAGCAGAAAAAATTGATATATATTTTTTATAATAATACATAAAAAATACAAATTGTACTTCTAAATAGGCATAAGCCATCACAAGATCATCTATATCATATTAAACGCAATTAATTTTCATCGTACAAAGATATAACACTATCATAATTACATAAATCACTATCACAAAGTGACCACCAGTAGTTGTACAGCGGACTTTTAAGACAACCGCGCCAAATATATCCATCACTCCTCAGAGCTTTAATGCCGCATATTTCATCTTCCGCACACTGTTTCGTTGGTAATAACCCACTGAAACATATATCTTATAGAAACTTACACGTACTAGTTTATAACAAACTAAAATTGGTAAAGCCAGTCATAATGCTTGTAGATCTGGCAATGATAAGGAAATAAGTATCTTTAACAGGAGTGTATAGGGGGACCCCCACTTGACTTAGTGACAACTTAATAAGACATGGGTTTTAGCTGTATATAAAAGTAATATAACTGTATAGTAACAAGCATATAAAAGCTTTCTATCTCTTTGTAAAGTTTCATCACAATATGTTCATCCATTCCGAATATTAGCTCGGATAAATAGACAGACAGAAATACATTTTTTAATGTGTGTTTACATAATGGTTATTAGTATTAGAGACAAACACTTCTATTTTATTAATATGTATAGATTTCAATTTAAATATTTAATTTTACATAATTTACTAGAACGATGAAAAACGTCATAAGGCATCTATCTGCATCTCAAGAAATAAAATATTTTAGAGACATTAAGTCCACCATCAGGCGGTACCAGTGTAATTGTATCATTACCCCCTTAGAAATGAGGGATGGCCTGTGCACGCACCGCATTTTTACTTTTCGTGGTCGAAAGGAGAAAGAACACACTCACAAAAGAAGAGAAAATAGCAGCACGTTGTTACTGTTTCGTTTGTTGAGCGATACGAACAGAAGATTTTTTTTCACAATGAAGCAAGTATTCCATATAAGACCCTAAGAGTGTCACAATGCTTCTCCATTTTGATTCCTAATTTTAAACCTGCTACAGATAACACCTTAAGCTTAGCTCATTTTGGCACTAACTTATGTATATACTAGATCGCCAGGCAGACGTTTTTCTGCCCTTTTCGACTAATCTTTGTCATGTTCTATTCAAAATCCTTAGATTCGCAAAAAAATAATTGTGGGTCATGGGCAAAAAAAATATCCCTCAAGTTGGGCCAAACTTCACACGGTGTGCAAATTTGGTTAATATCGGTTAAGCACTTTAGGAGTCCATCGCGGACAAACAACGTGACACGTAATTTATTTTGTTACCTATTTGTATTATATATATATATATATATATATATATATATATATATATATATATATATATATAATAGAAATATGCTTAGAAGGAAGAGGATAAGAAAAATAAATGGCTCAAAATAACTGGACAATCAAAGTTGAATTTAAACTGTATAGTTTGTTATATGTGGCATAATACAAGTAAGAGAGAACCTGAAAAATGCAAATGTTTACGAATAGAATAAATTGAAAAATATTGTGGCATTCAAAAGATACCCATAATTCTCTTGCCAGTTTTTACGAAAGAGGTTTATTTTCCAAAACATTGATTTTTATACTTTCAAATAATTTTAAACTAGTCTAAATTTAATAATTACTTACATATTACCCTCCAAGCAGAGAGAGTTGTCTAACATGTCCAGTGTTTTTGTTGTAGCATTAACTTCGCAGCTCAAACAAGACATATCTTTGTAAATAGATGTACGAAAGCTTTTTGATCGTGATAGATCGATGACATTTTCAATCCAATCCTTTTTTTTAGAAAATATGTATGGCATTTCAGAAATTGAAATATAGTTACAAAGGTTGCAAGAGCACACGTATGTTGTTAGATTCAGATTACCATTGAAACATCCACGGTCTATTAATCCAAAAGGTGTTTGCTGAGAGTAACATAGATCTTCTTCATGATCACAAATTACGGATGGAACCCTGTTTATAAAATAAAATTAAGAATATGGAAGATCTATTACAATTAAAGTAATTTTTTTTATAAGTAGATACTTACAGTTTATTTTTAGGATCATTACATTCTTGCAACTGAACATTGTTACATACGATACAAGATCTTCTTGGAGGGTTTTCAGTTATGTTAGGAAAATGAGGCTCAATAAAGAAATTAATTTTTGGTTCTGGTTTAGCTTTGATACGAGATCTTCTCTTTTTCTCTATAACATCGATATTTTTTGTTAAATTAAATAACTCGGTTTGTTTACTTTTCTCGTTTACAGTAGATACAGAAACAGAGTTAGTAGTGGTTATAATAGCAGTGGTTACAATAGCAGTTGTTAGGTTAGCAGTGGTTGTACGCGTTGCTGAAGTTACATTCGTTAACTGTTTAGTTCTTGTTACAGGAGCAGTAGTAGTTTTGTTAGATTTGATCGTGCTAATTGTTTTATTAGTTATTTGGGAAGTAATTACTGTTTTATTAGAAGCTCTTGTTTTTTCTAATGTAGTTGGTGTAGTCTCCACGCCAAAAATTTCTTTTACATTTTGAACTAAGAACGCTACTATATTTGCGTCTTCCTCACTTCGTTCCGATGTTGACTCATCTGGAAGCTCCTCAACTTGTCGCCGAAAGTAAAGCAGTGGCTTTTTAATATTTGGAGTTGTTACTTCATTGCATTTTGTAAAAGTAATTATAAAAAATAAACACAATAAAACTGAAATAGTTTCCATCCTTACAGAAAAATATTTACTTGACATTTTGACAAATTCTATCAACATCTGACATTCCTTAAAATGAAGTACAGTTTTATATTATGTTTTATAACCAGTCATATTTTAAAAGAATAAAATCTTATTTAAAATCGCCAAAACGTAAACACTTAGGCACTCGGTCGAGGTAGCAGAATTTTTGGGTAAAGCAGATTTCTGTGAAAGGTCGTTTAATAATAACTTTTCTGAGCGTATTTTTGGAATATAAAATGGTTTTGAGTTACATAATGAATTGTTGCAGAAATAAAACATTGAGTTATAAGCTGGTGTATCTATACATCCTCTTGAAACGAAATCGGTTACTTCATCATTATTTACATAACACACCTGATTACGCCCACAAAGCATATAGTCCACACTGAAAAGTATCATTATGTATTTATTTTTTAATAGTTAATAGAAGAAAATTTTCTTAATAAATATTTACGAAAATTTTAATTTTACTTAGTTTTATACATATTTTAGTACTCAGAGGTGACAACACAACTGTAGCCTTCTTTGTTTAAATATGGCTGAAGGTTCGGAAGGGGGGAGTCCGGAACCTCACGAATAGGTTCCCGCATTGTCACGTGCCGAGAAGGGGGGGAGGCTGGCCTCAGGTAGACCCTTTTTACTGGAAACAAGGCATTCCATCTTAGTCCTAACGGGTGACAACGCATCTGCATTTTGATTCGTAATCAAGGATAGATGTAGATATCTATGGGCCACAGCAACCACTTACTATCAGGTGGACTGTGTGTTTGTCAACCAATCCTATAAAAAAAGGTGGCTGAGTTTTGGTCACCATGATAAACGAAGAGAAACCTACATGTTTGACCCGAGGTGAAAGGCCAGCTCGAGTTGGCCACCCCGAGTGGGCTTGGCAAACCCACTTCGGATGTGTGTTAGTGAGCTGCAGTGAGATCCCTGCACTCCCACCCCTCACCCCCCTACCGCTGCAGCCTACGTAGATTCGTGGAAGAGAAGTGTTGGAGTGATGGCAGTGTACCATCCTTTGTGACTCTGGCATGGCCGCACCGTTGATATGGTCATGGTGGGGACGCGAGGGGGGCAGGTGTGTCATTATTGTGAGGCGCGCTATCTCTAACCTTCGCGTCCGAAACATCGTTGGTGTTGGAGCCATAGACAAGTTCCATCACTGGGGTCAGGAAAGTTGGTGTTTCCAAGTGCTCGTTTTTATCCAGGTCCCATGGGCTCCATAAGGCATTAGGTGGATTGTAAGTTAGTTCCAGTTTTATGTCTAATTACTACCATAAATTGACTTAACTAGAATTTGGTTTCATTATCTAGTATTGGTTTATGTAAAAAGTGGTCTTTAACGAGTAAAAATGATCGCGATGATGTTTCCTTAAATTTATTTAAATATCAAAAATTATATTCCTTTCATCTTTACACAGTAATAACTCGGGTAGGTGATAGAACAAACAGTTTAATTAGTGTAATTGTGAATGATAAATAAGCGAACAATGAAACGAACATCAAGTTACTAAATCATAAGGTGATAGATACTTATTGGTCATCAATACTATTTTTACGAGTAAGATCCACGCTGCAACTATATTATAGTTGTACGAATGTACGAATGGGTCGGCTCGACCGGGGTAGAACCAAACTCTCACAGAATACCAACATAAAATAGCAGCTCAATGCTGTTGTGTTTCGTATGATAAGTGTAGAGAACCGGAGACCCTTTTTACTGGAAACGAGGCATTCCATCTTAGTCCTCAGGGGTGACAACGCACCTGCGTTTTGATTCTTAATCGAGGATAAAAGTAGATGTATATGGTTCTTAGCATCCACTTACCATCAGATGAACCGTGTGCTTGTTCGTCACCCTTAATCTAAAGAAAAGATTACGTGCGTATAATATTTACAACTTTTGTTATAAAAATAAGTTGGGAATATAGGTGGGTATATTATATAATGTTTACTGTCTTAAACTTTTTCTGATATTAATCAAAAATTATTAAATTCTATTTAAAAAAATTACTATAAAAAATTACTGACATTTCATACGGTTTGTATTTCAAAGTAATTATTTGACGCATTTGCATTTTGATTCTTAATCGAGGATAGATGTAAAAGTCTATGACCCACAGCATCCACTTACCATCAGGTGGACTGTGTGCTCGTTTGTCACCCAATTCTATAAAAAATCAAAACCTTTGGTAAGTCAAATATTTGAAGATTTAAGTAATCGACTAAGAATCCATTGAATCATTTCGTCCCTTAGCTATCATAAAAGGCGACCATGGATTAAACTAGAAATAGCCTCAGCCAGTATCGGAATCCTCGGCTTCGACATATCGAGTGACGTGCAGTTTCATGGTCACTTGGAAGGGAAGGCCAAATTGGCTTCTAAAAGCTTGGCGTGCTCAGCAGAGCGGGACAGTATTTTATGCCGGCACACCGCCTGCAACTTTACAAGGCGCAGGTTCGGCCGCACATGGAATACTGTTCCCATCTCTGGGCTGGGGCTCCCCAGTACCATCTCCTTCCACTTGACCGCATACAGCGCAGAGCGGCTCGAATCGTCGACGACCGAGTGCTTTCCGATCGGCTCGATTCACTGGCACTGCGAAGAGATGTTGCATCTCTTTGCATTTTATTTCGCATATACCATGGAGAGTGCTCTGAGGAATTGTTCGGATTAATCTCAGCCGCCAAATTTCGTGAACGCACTACGCGGCAAACGTCCCGATACCATCCACACCATCTGGATGCTTGGCGGTCCACCACTGTACGTTTCAAGAGGAGTTTTCTTCCGCGTACAAGCTCTCTGTGGAATAGTTTACCACCAGCGATTTTTCCGGACCGATACGACCTGGGAACCTTCAAGGAAAGAGCGTACTCCTTTCTAAAGGGCCGGCAACGCACCTGCAATTCCCCTGGTGTTGCGGTTGATCATGGGCGGCGGTAGTCACTTAACATCAGGGGAGCCGCATGCTCGTTTGCCCCCTCTTCTATATAAAAAAACTTATAAAAATAAAACCATCCCGTTTACGCTAGACGTAAAATATGCGGATTAACGATGGAGAGCAGCGTCAAGGTTCGAGTGTTCTGATGAGACGATTAAAGTAAATTTTTCCTATTAGAACTTTATATGCTTTTTTATAGTTTGGGTTAATACGATCACCATTTCAATACAATGTAACTCAAGAATAGTATTTATTTTCATTTATTCTAGATACTCGTATATAAAAAACTTCTTACTTTTTACCACTTCTGCAATTAATGTCAACAATGGTATTGAAACCTCTCGTTTCACAAACTTTGCAAATTAACTGCATTCCAGCTATCGGTATTTGAACGCGTTTGTTGTGGTAATCCCAATCACCGATTTTTTTGTATTGGTAATAAACGGAATCGTTCGCAGGCTTATCGTTACACAACGGACAATTGCATACGAAAGTCCTATTCATTTTGTTTGGCATCATACATCCTCTTTTTATGTACTGTGGGTGCAGCTCCGTGTAACATATTTCTGCCTCTGAACACTGTACATTTGTTTGGCTGAAAAAGAAGACTCAGTTTGATTATAAAATATAATTACAAATGCAATTTTTCTCAAGACCGATTTTATATTTTTTCTAAAACCTTGAGAATAATTGGGACTCAAGCTGCTCAAGAGATAGTATAGCGAACATTGTCACTACTGAACGTGCCCTTTGTATCGCTCATGGTATCATGAGTGATACAAAGGGTATCTTCGATGTAAACTAATATTGACCATAAGATACACGAAGAAAATAACAAAACAACTACACTCGGAAATAAGACATTTGTATTTTCATGCACAAATATTAACTCTGGCTGGCAAAATGTCGTCACATTCTGCTTCAAAAATCGAGTAAATTTAGCAAAATGAAAAAGAGAGTGGGAGAGAGGAACAGATCTTCTCCGCAAAGTTTAAAATATGCTCAGAATAAATATTTGGAATAAAAATTTGTTCTTTAACAATATTTTATTAAACTTACACTTTGCCATTGTAACATTTTTCATCAGACATATATCCTCTGTCAGTAAAACACCACAAACATTGAATACCACTATCATTTTTATTATCATCTTTATTTTTTATATAATTTTGTGTAGTTATGTCTTTTATATTTTTTAAGCTAGCATTTTTCGTCAATTCTAGTTGTTCATAATAGAATGGGTCTGCAGTAAATAGTTTCCCAAATTTTTTATAAGTAATATCTTCGTAATGTAAAGGAATGGTACTTGAGGATCTAGTAAATTCGGGTAAACTTTTATTCAAACTAGTAAGAGATAGTAGAGGCTTTGTTAATAAAACCAATTCTTCTTCCTCTTGACCAAATTCACAGCCAAATCCGTAAAATAATGTAACAAAAACGAGCCACTTTATAATGTTAACATTTTTACTTATCATTTTGCTATTTCCGCTGAAAAGACAATAGCAGACAATAGTATGTCACTCATTTTATTCTTTTTTAATCTTATGTCACAAAGGCAACACTTTTAATATAAATAAACCCACAGATAACTAATAGTACCATCTCAATAACAGTATTCGCTACGTTTTCAGTACTCAAAAGTATGATCACGTCTTCTATCGCTCTGAACTTAAATAGTTGAATGTCCCACAAGGAAGGAATCTTAGAACAGTTTTAAGTCTTTTCACAATACTTAAAGATCCATTGACCCCATAGTTTTTGAAATGCAAGTTTCAATATCTGGGTTCTTCTCTCAATCGTAATCTTTGGTTTCAGGACAATCTAGTACTAGAAATTCCCTCTCATCGTACTGATTTTCTCTCCAAATACTTGGCTGTATAATAATAAGGAATCCTCAAATAAGTGGAATTTTGAAACAAAAATATAAGGACATTATTCAACAAATTGTAAATAATTATTTTATATATATAAATATATAAAAACACTCACGCCTGTCACCCAGTGGGATATGCAGAGATAACGGACTTCCATTTGGCACGATCC